TAGCCACAAAAATGCTTAGAGAGGACCTGTGTGTCCCCCTCCTGCTCCCCAGTGTCTTGTGCACAGCCCTCAGTAGTCTCCAGAGTGAATAGCCTTTTCCTTGCCATCATTAGTCTCCTGAGTGAACAGCCTTGTTCTAACCCTCAGGAGTCTCCAGGGTGAACAGTCCCGCCATAACCATCAGTAGTCTCCAGAGTGAACGGTGCCACCATAGCCACAAAAATGCTTAGAGAGGACCTGTGTGTCCCCCTCCTGCTCCCCAGTGTCTTGTGCACAGCCCTCAGTAGTCTCCAGAGTGAATAGCCTTTTCCTTGCCATCATTAGTCTCCTGAGTGAACAGCCTTGTTCTAACCCTCAGGAGTCTCCAGGGTGAACAGCCCTGCCATAACCATCAGTAGTCTCCAGAGTGAACAGTGCCACCTGCGGGTCCCCCTCTTGCTCCCAGTGTCCTGTCCTCAGTAGTCTCCAGAGTGAACAGTGCCACCTGCGGGTCCCCCTCCTGCTCCCCAGTGTCCTGTGTAGAACCCTCAGTAGTCTCCAGAGTGAACAGCCTTGCCCTTGCCATCAGTAGTCTCCAGAGTGAACGGTGCCACCATAGCCACAAAAATGCTTAGAGAGGACCTGTGTGTCCCCCTCCTGCTCCCCAGTGTCCTGGTCACAGCCCTTAGTAGTCTCCAGAGTGAACAGCCTTGTCCTAACCATTAGTAGGCTCCAGAGTGAACAGCCTTGCCATAAGCCTCAGTAGTCTCCAGAGTGAACAGTGCCACCTGCGGGTCCCCCTCCTGCTCCCCAGTGTCCTGTACACAGCCCTCAGTAGTCTCCAGAGTGAATAGCCTTTTCCTTGCCATCATTAGTCTCCTGAGTGAACAGCCTTGTTCTAACCCTCAGGAGTCTCCAGGGTGAACAGTCCCGCCATAACCATCAGTAGTCTCCAGAGTGAACGGTGCCACCATGACCACAGAAATGCTGAGAGAGGACCTGTGTGTCCTCCTCCTGCTCCCCAGTGTCTTGTGCACAGCCCTCAGTAGTCTCCAGAGTGAACAGCCTTGCCATCGCTGTGACCAGGGTGACCAGCCTTGCCATAACCATTAGTAGGCTCCAGAGTGAACAGTGCCACCATGGCCACAGAAACGCTGAGGGGACCTGTGTGTCCCCCTCCTGCTCCCCAGTGTCCTGTGTAGAACCCTCAGTAGTCTCCAGAGTGAACAGCCTTGCCCTTGCCATCAGTAGTCTCCAGAGTGAACGGTGCCACCATAGCCACAAAAATGCTTAGAGAGGACCTGTGTGTCCCCCTCCTGCTCCCCAGTGTCCTGTGCACAGCCCTCGGTAGTCTCCAGAGTGAACAGTGCCACCTGCGGGTCCCCCTCTTGCTCCCAGTGTCCTGTCCTCAGTAGTCTCCAGAGTGAACAGTGCCACTGTAGCCACAGAAACAGCAAGAGACAACCTGTGTGTCCCCCTCCTGCTCCCCAGTGTCCTGTGCACAGTGCTCAGTAGACACCAGAGTGAACAGCCTTGCCGTCGCTGTCAATAGTGACCAGGGTGAACAGTCTTGTCCTTGCCATCAGTAGTCTCCAGAGTGAACGGTGCCACCGTGACCACAGAAATGCTGAGAGAGGACCTGTGTGTCCTCCTCCTGCTCCCCAGTGTCCTGTACACAGCCCTCAGTAGTCTCCAGAGTGAACAGCCTTGCCATCGCTGTGACCAGGGTGACCAGCCTTGCCATAACCATTAGTAGGCTCCAGAGTGAACAGTGCCACCATGGCCACAGAAACGCTGAGGGGACCTGTGTGTCCCCCTCCTGCTCCCCAGTGTCCTGTGTAGAACCCTCAGTAGTCTCCAGAGTGAACAGCCTTGCCCTTGCCATCAGTAGTCTCCAGAGTGAACGGTGCCACCATAGCCACAAAAATGCTTAGAGAGGACCTGTGTGTCCCCCTCCTGCTCCCCAGTGTCCTGTGCACAGCCCTCGGTAGTCTCCAGAGTGAACAGTGCCACCTGCGGGTCCCCCTCTTGCTCCCAGTGTCCTGTCCTCAGTAGTCTCCAGAGTGAACAGTGCCACTGTAGCCACAGAAACAGCAAGAGACAACCTGTGTGTCCCCCTCCTGCTCCCCAGTGTCCTGTGCACAGTGCTCAGTAGACACCAGAGTGAACAGCCTTGCCGTCGCTGTCAATAGTGACCAGGGTGAACAGTCTTGTCCTTGCCATCAGTAGTCTCCAGAGTGAACGGTGCCACCATGACCACAGAAATGCTGAGAGAGGACCTGTGTGTCCTCCTCCTGCTCCCCAGTGTCCTGTACACAGCCCTCAGTAGTCTCCAGAGTGAACAGCCTTGCCATCGCTGTGACCAGGGTGACCAGCCTTGCCATAACCATCAGTGGTCTCCAGAGTGAACAGTGCCACTGTGGCCACAGAAATGCTTAGAGAGGACCTGTGTGTCCCCCTTCTGCTCCCCAGTGTCCTGTAGGCAGCCCTCAGTAGTGACCAGAGTGGACAGCCTTGTCCTAACCCTCAGTAGTCTCCAGAGTGAACAGCCTTGTCCTAACCCTCAGTAGTCTCCAGAGTGAACACCCTTGTCCTAACCATCACTAGTCTCCAGAGTGAACCTGATCAACCCCAGGGAAGAGGTTCAAGGTTGTGGGGGGACACCTTGGGTGGGCAGAGGAGGGGCCAGACTGCCCTGGCGGGGGGGTG